GTCCAGTGGTGAGTATTTTTGTTTTCTTTATATTGAGATGTAATCCATACTGAAGGCTGTCCTCTTTGATCTTCATCAGTAAATGTTTTAAGCCTTCTTCATTTTCAGGAAGCAAGGTTGTATCATTTGCATATCACAGGTTGTTAATGAGTCTTCCTCTAATCCTAATGCCAGGTTTTCCTTAATATAGCCCTGCTTCTATGGTGGGTTAATTCAAAATGAAGAGAAACATCTGTAAACATTCACTGAAAATTGGAACATGGAATGTACAAAGTATGAATCTGGAAAAATTGGAAGCTGTCACAAATGAAATGGAACAAATAAACATCACTATCTTATGCATTAGTGAGCTGAAATGGACCTGTATCAGCCATTTTGAATCTGACAACCACATGATTTACTATGCCAGGAATGACAAATTGAGGAGGAATGGTGTTTCATTCATCGTCAAAAAGATCATATCCAGATCAGTCATGAGGTACAACGCTGCCTGTGATAGGATAATATCCATGCACCTACAGGAAAGCCCTGTTAATACCACTGTTATTCAAATTTACGCACCAACCACTAAAGCCAGAGAGGATGAAATAGAAAAATTGTATCAACTTCTTCAGTCTGAAATTGATCAAACATGCAATCAAGATATATTGATCATTACTGGTGATTGGAATGCAGAGGTTGGAAGCAAAGAGGAATGATCAGTGGTTGGAAAATATGGCCTTGGTGATAGAAATGATGCTGGAGAACACATGTTAAAATTCTGCAAAGCCAGTGAATTGTTTACTTCAAATACCTTCTTTAGACAGCATAACAGACGACTATACACATGGACCACACCAGATGGAATACATAGAAATCAAATTGACTACATCTGTGGAAAGAGACGATGGAAAAGCTCCATCGGTGTTAACAAGGCTAGGGGCAGACTGTGGAACAGACCATCAATTGCTCATATGCAAATTCAAACTGAAGCTGACGAAAATGAAAACAAGTCCAAGAGAGCCAAAATACAACCTTGGATATATCCCAACTGAATTTAGAGATTATCTGAAGGACAGATTTGATGCATTAAACACGAAAGATCGAAGACTAGAAGAGTTGTGGGATGACATCATGAACATCATACATGAAGAAAGCAAAAAGTCATTTGGAAGACAAGAAAGAAAGAAAAGTTCAAAATGGATGTCAAAAGTGACACTGAAACTTGCTATCCAGCATAGAGATGTAAAACAAATGGAAGAATTGAGGAGGTCCAAGAGCTGAACAGAAAATTTCAAAGATCAGCTCGAAATGATAAAGCCAGATATTACAACAAAATGTGCAAAGATGTGGAATCAGAAAATCAAAAAAGAAGACGACACTCAGCATTTCTCAAGCTGGGGGACCTGAAGACAAAATTCAAGCCTTGACTTTTGTTATTGAAAGATTCTCTAGGCAAATTATTGAATGATGCAGAAAGCATCAAGAGAAGATGGAAGGAATACACAGAGTCACTGTACCAAATGGAAATGGTTACTGTTCAACGGTTTCAAGAGGTAGCATATGATTAAGAGCCAATGATACTGAACAAGGAAGTTCAAGGTGCTCTGAAGGAATTGGTAAAGAACAAGGCACGAGGAATTGACAGACTAAAACTTGAAATCTTTCAAGAAAGTCAGGCGGCACAGGACGCACTCACTCATCTCTGCCAAGAAATTTGAAAGACGACTATCTGGTCGACTGATTGGAAGAGATCTATATTTGTGCCCATTCCAAAGACAGGTGACCCAACGGAATGCGGAAATCATCCGACAGTCTCTTTGATATCCCATGCATGTAAAATTTTGCTAAAGGTAATACAGAAAGTACTACAATCATACATTGACAGAGAACTTTCAGAGGTTCAAGCCGGATTCAGAAGAGGTCATAGAACAAGGGATATAACTGCTGATGTCCCATGGATCTTGGTTGAAAGCAGAGAATATCAGAAAGATGTTTACCTGTGCTTTACTGACTATGCAAAGGCTTTCAACTGTGTAGATTAGGACAAGCTATGAACAACACTGCGAAGTATGAGTACTCTGAAACACTTAATTGTGCTCATGAGGAATCTGTACCTGGACCAAGAGACAGTTGTTTGAACAGAACATGGGAACACTGAATGCTTTAAAATTAAGAAAGGTGTGTGAGAAAGTTGTATTCTTTCACCATACTTATTCAACCTGTATGTTGAGCAAATAATCCGTGAAGCTGGGTTCTATGAAGATAAACGTGGCATCAAGAGTGGAGGAAGACTCGTTAACAACCTGCGATATGCAGATGATACAACGTTGCTTGCTGAAAGTGAAGAGGACTTAAAACATTTACTGATGAAGATCAAAGAGCATAGCCTGCCTAAAGTTAATATGACCTTAATGTTCTGGTTGACTCAAAGTGAGAAGAAATAGCTGCAAAACTTATTAGTAACTGTAATATGTAATATACAAAGTATGAATTAAAGAAGTTTGCAGGTAGTCAAAAATGCAATGAGACCCTGAAAGATGGATATCCAAGGTATAAAGTCAGCTGAAATGTACTAGAATTGACCATTTTTTATATGCCTATAAAAATGTTGAAGAGCAAAGATGTCAGCTTGAGAAGTAAGATGCGCCTGACCCAAGCCATGCTATTTTCAATAACCTTACATGCATGCGAAAGCTGGACAGTGAATAAGGAAGACCATAGAAGCATTGATGCTTTTGAGTTATGGTGTTGGAGGAGAAAAATGAAATTTCATGGGCTGCCCAAAAGAACCAATAGATCTGTTTTGTTAGAAGTGCAACCAGAGTGCTCCTTAGAGGCCAAGATGGCCAAACTTCATCTCTTATACTTTGGACATACTGTCAGGAGGGACCAGTCGCTGGAGAAGGATAACATGTTTGGTACGGTGGAGGGTCAGAGATAAAGAGGAAGACCCCCAAAAAGACGGAATGGCCAAGTGGCAGCATTGATGGACTCAAGTGTGGCAACTGTAGTGAATGAAGTTGACCGAGGATCGGGCAGTGTTTGGTTCTGCTGTGCATAGGGTCACTGTAGGTTGATACCCACTCGATGGCACCTAAGAACAACAGCATCTGTTTTCAAATAAATAAAAAAGTGACCATGTTGGCCATGAAGTGGCCAAGCTTAGGGATATTTCCATTAGCCTGATATATGGCAATATATATACATCCATACATGAGATATATATGTATGTATATCATACATATAGATCCATATATATAGGATATATCTATATGGAGTCCTGGTGTGGCACTGTGGGTCAATGTGCTAGACTGCAAAGCTGTTTGAACTGCAAGGTTAGTGGTTCAAGCTAACCATCTGCTCCTCAGAAACCGTATACAGGTTCACTCTGGGTCGGAACTGACTTGATGGCACATAACAATAACAGCATCATATATATATAATAAATGAAAACATCACCTCCCTACCCCAGGATTCTGGTTCCTTCGGACTTAAAAAACATCACAGAGAGAGCAATATAATTTGTGTTAAGCTGGCAAATTTTCTCTATTTTCCAACATATATTATCAAATACATATAATAGAATTAAAACAACAACTGTGTTTTCAATGATAAGTGTGCAAAGCAAGGCTAGATTTTGTTTTACACCCACTTTTCTTTTGGAGTGCTTTCGAGTTTTAACGTACAAAAGCTAGCCATTTTGTCAAATTTGTAATAAGTATTTTTTCCAGTTTATCATTTGACTTTATGTTAGGAAGACTTCATGGATTTTATACTTCTAATGATTTAAATGTAATGGTTAAATATATTTTAACTCTTTTATAATTTCTGGGGTTTAGTGTTTTTAACTTATAAACTCTCCGTTCTAGTCCTATAAATAAATTCACACTATTTTTGTCAGAGGATGTTGTTTTCCTTTCTATATTTATTTAAATCTATGATCTTTCTGAAATGTCAGCATAACAAATGAGGCAAGAAGCTACTTAGACTTTGTACTGGCTGATCAATTGTCTTACCATCATCTATTTTCCCCACTGAGTTGAACTATATATAATCTTTTACCACATATAAAACATCATATATATTTACACTGACCCACTTATCTATGTGGCTAAAGACTATGTCAGGGAATACGGAAAATGAACAAAATAGAACTGCTAAAATTTTTTAATTAAAACAGTGCTAAGGGGTGCTGTTTAAATGCTGTTGTTGTTAGTACATTTGAGTCTGCTCCGACTCACAGCGACCCTGATTAGGGTTTCCAAGGAGCGGCTGGTGCATTTGGAACCACCAACTTTCTGGTTCAAACCAACCTCAAGGTCCAGTGCTTTATCCCACAGTGCCACACCAGGACTCCGTATCTATATACTATAGCTTTCAAATATATAATATATTGATGTAGAACAGCAAGCCTTTTCCCTGACCACAAATCACTTTTTTCAGAAATTATACCATATGAGTACATAAAAGGTTACTTTATAGTATCTATCAAAAAAGAAGAAAACAAATCTTACAGGAGGGTAGAAGAAAAACAGATATTCTTTGGAACCAAGGGACAACAGGACTATCCCCTCTGACATGATCTTGGCAATTTCACAATGAATCAAACAGGGATATTAAACAGGGCAAAATAAGCTACAATTTAAGATTAGTAATACTTCAAAGACTCAACAAATCGGGATACTAGGATTTCTAAAGCACAAAGATTGACTCATTAAACATTAAGCTTAAGTTTTTCCAGAAATTCCAGTTTCCTTAATTATGTAAACAGGTTGTCTACTACTAAAGCTTATCTAGGAGTTTACAAACAGAAGGCTACTAATCTGCAATTAGGCTGCTTTCATTCGTACAAAAGTCTTATAAACCATCGTTTTCACATTCTATATTTCTTGTATTTTTACAAAATTATAACAAATGAAATTAAAAGACTAAGTTTTTAGATAAAGAAATATACATAAACAGCAGACTATAAATACAGTGTCTGACAATTTTGTCATACTCTTTTACCAAGTACTTACTTATTAAGCAATGTATGTTATGAGAGTAACGAGAATTGTCCGGGATGGTGAAGGTGCCATCACAGATAGCAACCTGACTCTCCCCAAAAGGAAGAGTGAAGAAACAAAGTTTGTAGAGCAAACATCCGAGTGCCTGTAAAACAAAGAAGCTTAATATCATCAGATCTCTAACACTCTAAACCATAACACATAAAAACAGTGAAAATCAAAATTGAAATATGGTTTTTAAAAAAACAAAATGCTAATGTTATTAAGAAATCCTTTTAGTCTTTGAAAATATGTTCAGCTGTATGATTCCCATGTTTCTTTGTCATATCTGTAGCCAGTTTACTGAATTAGATGCTATCATAGGACTCTAAACTGTGAATGATATAACTAAAATAGAAATGGCCAGGTCTTTTTAGAAACAATTATACTTTTATTTCTTCTACATGGAAAATACATATTTAGTACATAAATCGCACATAACTAACAAAGAAAATAGAACTTTTAAGAAAAATCACAATTTAACATGTTTAAAAATATTAAAATTCTAAACATGAGCTAACCAGCACAGTTAAACTTGCATATCATTGCTTCATATTATAGAACACTTCACTTAATGTATATTATCAGATCATTTTATTCTATATTAATTACATTTGTATTTGGGTGTCCTAATGAAGTGCTACAGGATAAAGCACTGGACCACGAGGTTGATTTGAACCTCAAGGCCGGTGGTTCAAACTCACCAGCTGCTCCTCAGGAGCCCTTAACAGAGTCACTATGTGTAGGAACCAACTCATCAGCACATAACAGCAGCAATCCAAGTTCAAGCACACATGGAAAGGCTTTCTCTGTTTAACTTGCATAGCTTCATAAATAGCACAGCATCAATAAATTCACTTGCTGACAATGAAGGCAAAATACACTAAAGCACACATTTTATCTGGAAAAGTAGCATAACACTGCATATCAGGGTTTCCAAGGCTTTATATCTTTGAAGGAGCAGAAAGTCTCATCTTTCTCAGGTAGAGCAGCTGGTAGGCTAGAGCTATATACCTTGTGGTTCGCAGTCCAGTGTTTATTATATTGAGCGACTTCACTCCCCAATTAACCTATGCTGTTTATGTTAACTTGACTCATTAGTTATTGGTTTACAAGAGTATATGTTGTTAAGCGCCGACGAGTCAGTTCTCACTCATAGCAACCCTGTACAGAGTTTCTGAAGAGCAGCTGGTGAGTTTGAACAGCCAACCTTGTGGCTCAGATCAAACTTGTGGTCCAGTGCTTTTACAGCATCACACCAGGACTACACAGGAGAATTTGTTGTTGTTGTTGTTCTATATGCTGTCGAGTCAGTTCTGATTCACAGCGACCCTGTATAGGGTTTCCGAGAAATGACTGGTGAGCTTGAACCTCCAACCTTGTGATTCAAACTGACCTTTGCAGATCAACACATTAGCTTGAAGTGCCACACCAACTAACCTATATGGTATAAAATTTTAAAGTATCTCTGACAATTTATATGTTGTCTGGCATGTATATTAATTCTAGCAACAACAAAAAAAGTATTAAAAAAGCATAAAGCTGACTTTTCTTGTAAACCTCAGAACTCTTTCCAAAGGCATTTTACATTCCCATGCTGAATTTGGTGACTAAGGGAGGTGGTGCTGACGGTTATGCGCCGTGGAGTCAATTCTGACTCATAGAGTGACCCTGTACAGGGTTTCCGAGGCTGTAAATCTTTACAGGAGCAGAAAGCCTTATCTTTCTCCCGCGGAAAAACTGGTAGTTTCGAACTGCTGATCTTAAGGTTCACAGCCTGATTCGTAACCACTATGCTACCAGAGCTCCTTGACTAAGGGTTGTTGTTGTTGTTGTTGTTAAGTGTTGTCGAGTTGATTCCAACCCACAGTGACCCTGTATAGGGTTTCTGAGGAGTAGCTGGTGAGCTTGAACCACCAACCTTGCAGTTCAAACGGCTTTGCAGTCTGGCGCATTAACCCACAATGCTATGACTAAGGGTACACATGACTAATAATTGCTGAATTTAAATGAATTTACATTTTAATTTTTTTCTGTTAGTTTGCAAAATACAACAAAAACTGTGTTTTATTTATGAAATGAGTTCAAAGGAGGTGTTAACATTTTAGTATGTTGTTGTTAACTGCCGCTGAGTCAGTTCCAACCCATAGCAACCCTGTATAGGGTTTCCTTGGAGCGGCTGGTGAGCTTGGACCACCGACCTTAAAGTTCAAAATGACCTTGAGATCAAGTGCTTATCTTACAGCACCAGGACTCCATTTTACCATAGTTAAACTATAAAGAAACATTATCGCAATAATAAAATCTAGATCTAAATGAAAAATTAAAACAAGCCTTAATATACAGAAATTAGTCAACATTTGTTTTTACTTATGTTAGTTTCCATTCATAAGATCCTAAAGTGCCACCTTAGTGTTACTGTTGTTGTTGTTGTTAAGGGCCAACAAATCTATACCGACAATAGCGTACTTATGTACAGCAGAATGAAACCCTGCCCAATGGTGCTATGTCTGGCATTTTGTACTGTGTGCAGCCAAAAACCCACTCAATAAGAAAAATGTTAAAAATCATATAATCTATATTAAGTTCTAAATAAATGCTATGATTAAAAAGTTACAAGATAAGGACATCTTTTTCTTTTTTTGGCAGTAAAGTTATGATCTGAGGATTGAGAAGATAGAATGTTATAACAGTCTCCTGAATAAGTAGCTCTGCTTTACATGTACTATGTAAATGTACTATGTAAATGTAAAGGTAATGCCTTTAGAGGATAAGGGTGAAAGGAGGAGGATAGTAAATTGAATTTAGAATGCTTTATTTAGCTAGAGCAAATTTCAATCTTGGTCTTACCCAGATGTCAGCCTTGGTGGTAATAGGTTTCCCTCCATAAAGGTTGATCATTTCTGGGGCTCTGTATGACAGAGTTGTGTACCTGGAAGGAAACAAGTGAAATGGAGTGAACAGAAACTACACTGACTCTATGTAAAATAATTTTTAAAATGTAAGGTTTGGTAATGTAACATAGAATTAATATCATAAAAAAGCTCATTAAAAAACTTGACAAAGATTGAGCAATGTCAATATCTATATACATTTCTATTCAACAAGTACAACAGTATTTATAGTAAGTATTTACAATGATATAAAAACTTTTTATTACTTCAATATTAGAAATAGTTTATATATCGACAAAGTATTGTTTTCCTTGAATTTACTTTAACTAATACAATTAAACTAGTATAAGTCTCTTGATTAACATATTTTAGTCCATTAGTTTAAAATGCAAACTTCCACTCTCTCAAATAATTCACGTTTACTGAGAAGCATGTTCTCATTGCCTCTAACACACTTCACTGCACACAGTAATAAATCTCCTTTGGGTTTGTTTTTATAATTGGCATTGTTTTAAAAGTACCCTAGTTGCTATAATTCTAACTACACTAATAACATTCGCTAAATATACTTCTATTACTGACTGTAATCAAACTGCTGTTGTTAGGTGCCATCAAGTCAGCACCGACTCATAGCGACCCTATGCACAGCAGAGCGAAACAATGTCCGATCCTGGGCCAATCAAATTACTTGGAATTAAAAGATAATGTGAATGAATATTATAGATATAAAAACCCCAAATTCATTTTGAACCGAGTATCTTAATAAAGTAGTATTTAAATTTAATGACAGAAATTATCAGATACAGATGAATTTCCTGTATCATGGCATAATTTAAAATTCATTTTGAGTATTTATACTTTGTTTTTCTTAAAGAAAATACCTAAATCCTTGATATTCTTAACATCTTATACTTTCCAAACTAGTCTGCCTAGTGAAACATTTGAGGTGATACTACTGATATGAGGGCAGGACTTTTGTTTTATCTACTGGAGTCCTGGTATAGCGCAACTTGTTAATGAGCAGGACTGCAAGGTCCATTTGAATCACAAGGCCGACGGTTGAAGATCACCAGCTACTGCTCAGAAACCCTATATTGGGTTGCTGTGAGTCGGTACTGAATCCACAGCACTTAACAACAATTGTTATTTACCAAGCACAAAGAACAAAGTCTGCTACATTAGAGGTAATAAACATATACCTCTAGGTTGAACAATTGATTAGCTAACTCAACTGAGCCACAAAAATAAGAACTTCTATTAACTTTGGTTCATCACTAATGCAAATTCAACTGAATTTCATATACCACACAATGCAGCATGTAACTTCCAACAAATCAGATGTTTGAGCAGTATCCTATAGCAACCACTATATGTCCCAATTCCATTACCATTAACTTTTTTCAAAATTATATATACATACATATAGCCCCAAAGAGCCAATTCAATAATTATACTGTCCTTGTGTTGTTCAGGAAATTTGTGTTTAGTAAGAAGCTTGTTTTAATGGAATCTAACATAATTACCATAGCATAATATATATGGACCAGAGTTACTATCAGCTGCATTTAATTTATTTCTGAAATTTCATCATTCAAATGGTTGCTCCTATATAGTCTTCAACTACTAGAAATTCCTATTTTGACAGTTCTTTATGCATTCTGTATCATTTTATAAAGGCAATATAAGAATTACAAACAGCTCCACTTTGTAAAACTAAAACAGAAATTAGGAAAAGGTCCTCACAGATGTTGTGACAATCATGAATTTTAAAAAAATTGAGCAGGTTTAACTTATATTTTTACCAGAGAACATTCCAGTTGTTGTTGTTAAGTGTCGTCGAGTCAGTTCCGACCCATAGCGACCCTGTACAGGGTTTCCAAGGTATTAAATCTGTACGGGAGCAGAAAGCCTCATCTTTCTCCCGTGGAGCGGCTGGTAGTTTTGTACTGCTTACCTTAAGGTTTGCAGCCCAATTCTTAAGCTAAAGTACTTGATATCAACCTTACCATTTGGTTTTCCACATAGTTTCCAATGCACAGCAAAATCGGTCTTAATATTACAAATATGATTTCAAAGCATTAAACGGTTTCTAGCAATTAAGCACAAATCTTCTGCATTAGTAAAAACATGAATATTAAACTGAATTTGAAATTCACTTGAAACTCCATTTAGAGATCCCATTGATTACTACACCTTATACAACAAAACTCTTAATATATGTTTATAATGTACATAGATCAAACATAAATTGTTTCTTTGGCATAGAAATATTACGAGGAAATCTACAAATAAAATATCTGAAGCTTGTACTGGAAAAGCTAGTTGTACGTGAGATAATTAAAATTCTCATGAGACAAAGTACAATAAGGATGGCACTTACTTTTTAATTTCTTCTTCAACTACATTCACTCCATCTTTTTGAGGATTAAGAAATTTATTAGTGGCACTGCCGAAATCACAAAGTACATAGTTTCCACCATCATTCAATAAAATATTTTCTACCTTAATGTTAAAAAAAAGCAAGAAAGAAAAAATCAGTAATTAGTAGTATTTTCAACATGAATACTATCTTTTAAAATCTATGCCTTTATATGAAGTCCTGGTGTGGCGCTGTAGGATAAGCTCTGGACTGCCAACCTCAAGGTCAGACGTTCAAACACACCAGGAGTTCCTGGGAAACCCCACAGGGGGTCACTATGAGTCAGAACCCACTCTACAACACTTCACACAACATGCTTTTCTGAAAACTTAATAATCCATGTAACAGATCCAGGGTGGTGGTTTTGTGCCGTGGCGTTGGTTCCGACTCATAGTGACCCTGTACAGGGTTTCTGAGGCTGTAAATCTTTACGGGAGCAGAAAGCCTCATCTTTCTCCCATGGAACAGCTGGTACTTTCAAAACTGCTGACCTTAAAGTTCGCAGCCCAATTTGTAACCACTACGCTACTAGAGCTCCTTGTAACACATCTAAGACACCTCAAATTATTAGGAAGGACAAATGAAACCGAACAAAATGCTCTACTATGTCTACTTTTTCTCCTATAATGGATGTGCTTCTCCCACCCCATGACGGTTAGTGCAGGGGCCAAGGAACCCTAAATCCTCTCCACAACTGCTTTTATGAAAGAGAAGATCTAGAAGCAGGCAGAGTGCAGCTTCTCTTTTATACTGTAACTCCATTTTTCTGCTTTCCTGATACTGCTACTTATCTACAGACTAGTAAATAATGAAAAACATTTAAATCCTGCATATCTAACCAAATCCTAATGCTATTTTTATCTAAAATACTACTTTGAAGAACACAAATTTGACTTTCTGTCTTAACATGGAGAACAGAGATTGAGAAAATGAGCGGGTTCACAGTCCAACTCTGCTCCTTACTAGTCTTTGACACATGTGGCCTTTGACAATTTGCTTTCATTTTATTTTCTACAGCAGATTCTACTACATGGAATACGTGTGAAAATTAAATGAACCAAAATTTGCAAAGTGCTTATAGCATTGTCTGCTATATGAAAAGCAATCAACTGATATTAATTATTACTGTTATTGCTATGTGCTTTTTCACTCTATTCTACTATATATTTTGTTATTTTTTAAAAAAACTTTTATTGTGCAGTGAGTGATAGTTTACATGGGAGAACATCATCAGTTTTCCACTCATCCTATTATATTTTGTATCATTGCAATGAATACAATCCCCTCTATACATCATCATTCACCAGTATCTTACCCCATCTCCTTTCACCAGACCCACCTGAACAACATGAAAACTATTCAGTGGGGATTCTACCTTCCCCTATACACTCTGAAACTAAACTCCTCTTGAACACTTGTAAGTCAGTCACTTTGTCCTTTATGTTGTACTTTATGGGTACTATCTGCAAGTTTGGGCAATCCTACAGTACATTCTTAAATGAGTAAGCTTTCTTCTTCCTTTTCAAAATATTCACAGTATAGTTTCTTTACTGATCTTTCAAATGACCCAACAGAAGAAGTATCGGAAAGCAAACAGTCCTAAATTGAGAAAAGTCTCCTTGGTTTCCACAACTGTAAAATGCAGACAATATATAACTATCTTGCAGAGTTGCCAAGAAAATTAACAAACAGTGTTTGGCACAAGTGTTGTCGTTGCCGCTGTTAAATGCCTTCAAGTCATTTCTGACTCATAACAACCTGTATAGGATTTCCGAGGCTTAAGTCTTCGAGGGAGCAGAAAGTCTCTTCTTCGTCCTGTGGAGCAGCTGGCAGGCTCTAACTGTTCTTGTGGTTCCTAACCCAGTGCTTATCATTTGGAACCACCCTCACTCCCCTTGGCAAATGGTAAACACTGAAAAACGCTAATAATAGCTCAAACTAATCTAAGTCAACAAGTATTTTAAACAAGTTTTTCTTATTTTATTTTGTTGTTGTTAGATGCCATTAAGTCGATTTCAATGCACAGTGACCATATGTGACCGAGTAGAACAGTACAATAGGGTTTTTGGCTGTTATCTTTACGGAAGCAAATCACCAAGTCTTTCTCTCGCAAAGATGTTGAGTGAGTTCAACCTTTTGGTTAGCAGTCAAGTGCTTTGTTGAAAAGAGGGATTCCTCAAATGGAAGAGTCAAGAACAGAATCAAATTATAAGAACAGAGGATCTGGAAGGTCAGTCTATGATCAAAACAATTACAATGTGAAAGAAGGTAAACACAGAGGAACAGAGACCCAGGTGGCGGGAAGGTCAGGTGGATTACATGATAAAATAGACTCTTAAATTGAGGGAAGAGTTAATAGAATATAAGGTAATCACAGCAGTGGGGTTGGGGTGGGCGGCTTAATTTGGGTGTTGGGGAGGGCAATACAAGAAGGGGGAGGAGGTGGAAGAACAAGTTTAATAGGGGAATACTGAGACAATTTGCATGTCCTAAGTGGGGCAGAGGTAAACAGTGATGCATGCTCAACCTTGGAATAACAGAGCTCTGTGATACAGGGATCTAGGCATAGCTTGAAGAGGGGAAATAATACTAAAATGCTTCACTGTCTTATGAATATTGGTTTCCCTTGTCTACTATTATTGTAAAATAGACACTTGAGTGGGATAGAAAGGAATGTTGGGAAACATGATTACAGAAAACTTGTAAGCTGTCTTCAACCTATAACTGATTGGAATACCTAAAAGGGGTTCTACAACTTGACCAGTGAAATAGCCCTCTTGCAAAGCCTTTGCAGAGTATAGGACCTTAGGTGGAATCCAGAGTCCCATCAAGAACCTTATGAGGTGGGACATTCCCACTAGCAAGGACAAACAGACCAGCCTGGAACAGCCAGAACAACAGAAGATACATCTTCAAAGAAAGATCAGCAGGAAAAACCCAAAACAAAAATGTCAGCATAACTAGCTTGATAATCAGAACTCGACTAAAGGAAGATTACTCCCAAAAAAAAAACAAAAAACGTTTTTTGATAAAGAAATGAGGGTACATTGCTACAATTTGATGAACTTGACGTATACTCATGGAGGAAGTAGCTCTAAATATCAACAGAGAAGAAAAGAGTCTTCACATCAAGTATCAGTGCTATCCCCTCTGTACACAGTGTAGACAGGGACGGGCAACTTAGACATTGGCTACCTAAAATGAAGGGGCAATAAAGGCACAAAGTGACTGGCTTACAAGGTTTCAAGAGGGAGTTTAGTTTAAGAGTATGGGGACAAAGAAAGAGTCCCCACTGAATAGCTGTCATCTTGTCTAGATGGGTCTGGTGAAAAGAGTTGGGGATAAGATTTGTATGATTCAATAGTGAATAATTGTTATCATGACTAATTGCGACTGTCACAATCGTAAAGGTAGAAGTTCTGTAATAAAAACAGGGGCGTGTTTAATCTTACAGTACAGAAACAGAGGACCCTAGGACCGTCAAGGGAGAAGAGCACAAGCAGAATGTGGGACCATATCCAGAGAAGCAGCGACGTCAGAGATGGAGGCAGAGATGGGGGGCATGGAGAGGGACAGTGGCTGAGTACTCTAGATTCATGGGAAGAGCTGGTGGCCAGGAGGCAGACTTGCAGCATGTGCCCTTTGGAAATGTAAATTATTATATATGCCTGAGTATTTTGTTTTGTTTTAAAAAAGCTAAAGTGGATAGAAATACTGTTAATTGATGGTACATGGAGGGGATTATAATAATTGTAATGAAACAGGGTGTATGATTTGTTGAACGTAAAACTGATGATCTACCTTGTAAACTTTCACTCAAATTCACAATAAAAACCTAAAGAAAAAAAGAATACTCAGCTGAAAATATCAATTTAGTATGTAAAAAGTTAGTAGGCTATAACAAGGATACAAAATCATTAAAAATTATTAGGCAAAAGCAGAAAACTTCATATTCAAAATAACTGAGAGGAGCTAAACCGGTGGCTCAAGCTAAGGGACTGAGTGAGATCAGGTGTAATGCACTTCAATCCTACTTTGAGCTTTCATCATGTTATTGCACGTGCATCCTTTCACTGTGGGATTCCTTGGATGGTGCTTTCATGGCTAACAACTTACATTCTAAGTGACATCTCCCATTCCTTTCATTCCTAAGATCATTTCATAAACACTTTCATAAGTTTTGTATAATCAGTCAGAACTAGATTCATTACTTAGTAAATATATGAGTTCTTGCTATGCATCAAGCCCTGTTCTAAATGCTTGGATATTGTTGTTGTTGTTAAGTGCTGGCGAGTTGGTTCCGACCCAAAGCAGGCCTATATAAGGGTTTCCAAGGAGTGGCTGGTGAGCTTGAACCATAGACCTCATGGTTCAAACCAATTTTGTAGTCCAGCGCATTAACTCCGAGCACCACACCAGGACTCCGTCACTTAAAATGACAAAATCTCAGCCCTCATGGAGCTTACATTCTAATGGGAGAAGATGGACAATAATAGGCACAATACACAAACAAGCCATAAAATATCTTAATAAAAGAGCAGGTAGAGAGAAGAACTGTGGGTTACCATTATAAACAGAGTAGCTCAGCATAAGACTCACTGAGCAGGTAAAACTAAGCAGATTTGAGGGAGGGGAGAGATTAGTTAGTCATCAGGATATATGGGAATATGGTAATTCAATAAGGTGGCTTTTGTAATCTCAGTTTTGTGGGCATCAAAAAGGATACGTATTCTTATTTATATCTCTGGCAATACAATACCAGGAATATTCAATAGCCTTTCAAGACTTTTTCCAATGTAATAACTAGGTACCAGATACAAGGGTCAGGAACCTACAAGAAGATATGATGAAGTGACCTTAAAAGAAAACAAGACAAAACAAAAAAAACTACCTCCAAATTATAAGTTAAAAGATCCATTTTACAGGATTTGTTCCAGTATCTCTTGAAAACACCCAGGTACGGATTACAGTAAATAGGAGGAATGCTGAACTGAAAGATAATAATGATGTGAAGGTCGCTCAACTTGTGTCAGAGATGCTCACATTTTGTTTAAAATGAAGAACAAAGATTGCTTTGCTCAAATAAAATCTTTAAAAGAAACAAACTATGTAAAACAGGAGAGTTGGCAGCACAAAAGCTATCTCTGTGGCCACACTAGAAACTTCAGGGTCATGGAAATCACAAATTTAAATGTAAAGTTGCTTTTCTTTACATGGCCTCAGGAAATGTAGCAGAGAACAGAGGCACTAACCAGGGCACAAGTAATAATACCTGGTTTATATAAAAATAGTCCAAGCAGCATTTTAAATCCATAGCCTAAACGTTGGTAAGTTTTCTAAAATGCTTACCTTCAGATCCCGGTGAATTATTGGAGTCTTACACTGATGCAGCCTTGCAACAGCTTCACAGGCATCACAGAATATCTGCAACACTTCTGGTTCCGTAAAACCTGTCTGCAGCTTCTTGTTCATTTGATTCACGACCTGACCAGCTGGGCAAAATGGTAATTTTGAGAAAACATTTTTTTTTTTTTTTTTTTTTAAGTAAAGCCTATCATAAAACAACTAAGAAACCCCTTTATGGTTTCAGATGATGAGAAACTGAGCTTTTTGTAATTCTCATATAAAGATGCTTATTAAACTATATGTTATAGATTCAATGACACAGTTGCCTCACATTTTTACATCTCTGAGACAGGAATATCTTAAAGTAATGTTCTTTCAATTCTACTGAGCATTTTTTAAACATCTCTGAAATCAATGTTAATCAATTACATCGCAGTTTTCAACAATTTATTAGTTATGGGACAAACATGATGAACAAAAGTAAGTTTTCTATTATACCGGAATTTACATTACAAAGGCAGAAACAAATACTTGATAATCATTACATAAATAATCATGATCATGTAAACTGAGAATAGTATGAAAGCCTTCAACAAGGAAGCCCTAAATGTATACTGGACAATGAATAAAGAAAGCCAAAGAATTGATGCCTCTGAACTATGGGTTGGCAAAGAATACTGACATACCATGAATTGCCACTGAATTGGAACCAATTCAATGGTGCCTAACAACAAGAAGCAGCAGCCATTACAACAAGCAGATCTCTCTTGGAAGAAGTACTGCCAAAATGCTCCTTAGAAACAAAGATGGCAAGACTGTTTCATATACTTTGGACATGTTGTCAAGAGGGACCAGCCCCTGGTTTGGTAAAGTAAAGGATCAGTGAAAAGAGGAAGAGCCTCAATGAGATAGATGGACACAGTAGCTGCAACTATTGTTTTTGATTGTCATGTGCTGTGGAGTGGGCTCCGACCCATATTGACCCTGTACAGGGTTTCCGAGGCTGTAAATCTTTATGGGAGCAGAAAGCCTCATCTTTCTCCTGCAGAACAGCTGGTAGGTTCGAACTGCTGACCCTGAAGTTAGAAGCCCAATTTGTAACCACTACGCTACCAGAGCTCCTGGCTGCAACTATAGGAAGAACTAAAACAAGATTTTGAAGATGGCACAAGAATAGGTACTGTTTTGTTCCCTTGTATATAGGGTTGCTGTGAGTCAGAACAAACTCAAAAGCACCTAACAACAACAAATGTATATTGGAGCAACAAAGTAGAAGGGAGAGGAGGTCAGATAAGTGCAATCTAAGGAAGTGGCATTCATATCGAGATTTAAGAGTATTTAGGAATTAACAAGGCCAAGATCTGGGAGAAGCCCACTGCTTTCCAGTCAATTCCAACTGAAGGAAATGATACATGTTATAAAGTACAAATGATCCATAGGGGTTTTCTTGACTATAATCTTAAGGTAAGAACGCTGTCAGGTCTTTCTTCCGTGGCACCAGTGAATGGTTCCAAAACACCACATTTTTAGGTTAGTTGTCAAGTACAAACCATTTGTCCAACCTACGGACTTAATTAGAAAATTAATGAGGCCAGAGACTGGGGAGAAGAACAAAGAAAATACACGCACAAGAAAAATAGAAAGCATTTCATGACTCTTAATCATTCATAGTCAGTGTGCAAAATTATGAAAACTTACTGACACTACAAAATACCTTGAGACAATGAGAGTTGCTGAGGCTAGGGGGCTCAGAACTATACTCTCAGGACACACGATGGGCAACTGGCACAGCATAGTACACAAAGACAATGTTCTAATGCCTACTTTGGTGAGTAGCAACTGGGATCTTAAAAGCTCATGAGCAGCCACATGAGGTGAAACTACTGGTCTCTATGTGAGAAGGAAAGAAGAGTGATGAAAACTGAAGAGGTTGGGAATCAATTAGTCTAGTGGAATAATAGAACATGTGAACATCAGTCTCCATGACCCTGAAACCAAAAATAACTAAATGGTGCCCAGCTACACTACCAGCAACTCTGAAAGGAATCACATCAGAAGGTCTTGAACAGACTTGGGTGAAAATGTGGACCAAAACAATGAACTATAAATTAAAAATTTAAAAGACCAGGTGGGCAGGTCAGAAAGAGGCTGGAAGAACTCGAGACTAGAGCCCTGGGACAACCTTCAGGTATAAACTCATCCTGGTGGCTCAATTTTCGGACAAGCAGTAGATAGGCACGTAGGGGGAACAATAGTGATGTATACTATACATACCATGGAATTTGTACTGAAGATCAAAAAGACAACATTTACCTAAGATAAAGTTGAGAAAGGGATGGGAAAATGGATGGAATGGATTTAAGAACCACAGGGAGGAAGTGGGCGAACTGTTGTTAGATGGAGAGGATTGCAAACATTGAAATGAAACGAAGTCTATGATTTGATGAATGTGAAACTAATGATCTTGTCTTAAACCTTCACTCAACGCACAATAAAACATTTCAAAAATATATATATATACATATATATAAAGAAAGAAAGCCAATGTGAGTTATCATCTAGGAAACAGAGAAACAAAAAACATGCAAAGAGACAGAAGAGGCAGGCACAGATCAGTCATATTTTGGATTTTACCTAAGAGACAAGGAAACTTACTGACCTAAAATTTTTTAAATCTCCCTTAGGAGAAGAGAGGCAGTCGGAAAAGTAGAACTGAGAGACCAGTTAAAAGCTCTTAGCAAATTAAGAGATAATGGAACAAGGAGCTACACATATATCACTGTTTTCTAACAGAATTATTAAATATTACAATATACAATAATGATAGTGAACTAATGATAACTCTTAATATCAAGAAAAAGTTAACAAGCTTATATTCTAAGAACATGCTAATAAAAATTACATTTGTGAATGGAAAAAGGCAAGTTTACACCATCTTGAAACTTTCCTTTAACAAGGTTTGATAAATTGTTGTTGTTGTTGTTAGGTGCAATCCAGTCGGTACCGACTCATAGAGACCTTATACACAGCAGAACAAAACACTGCCCGATCCTGGGCCAACCTCACTATCGTTGCCATGCTTGAACAAATTGATGAAATGAAATTACTACTGTGTAATTTGGCTGGTAGCGTAGTTGATTATGAACTGGGCCGCTAACCACAAGGTCAGCAATTCGAATCTACCAGTCACTCATTCCACAGGAGAAAGATGAGGCTTTATGCTCTTGTAAAGATTTTCAGCCTTGGAAACCCTATGTGGAGTCACTATGAGTCAGAACCAACTCAGTGGCACACAACTACCACCACAACTACTACATACTCTGTAAGAAAGCGTATGGCACATTTGTTCCTTTTTTCATTATAAACTAAACATCAAACTCTTTCCTGAAATATTTTTCATTTAGGATATTAAAGTAGCAAGATCATCTGAATCTGTCTCAAACTGTTTTAAGTAAAAAGGAAACAGGATAAAAAGTACTTTCTTGGTGTTTAGTCATACTCTTGAGATACCATTTTATAGCTACAGAAATTATAACCTTGAACTCATTCCAATTATTCTAAACTTTCAAAGTTGTAATGAGTAGAATTTATGTTAAATGTTACTTTCCTTTCCTCCATCCAGAGATCTTGGGGCCAGAAAACCTGAATCATAAAAACCAATGTCCAGAAAATGATAAAAATTATTTGTTTAAATCATGTTTTAAATGTAGAAACAGAAATTTCCATTATTGAAAATCAGAGTTTTGTGAACCTGGGAAAATCAGTATTACTACTTCATCAAGCATCAGTATGAAGCAACATACCCAAATATTTTATTTTTATTTTGACTGTAGCTTTAAACTACTGAGTGACTTTATTTTTATTCTGAGGTTAATTTGAAGCTATTGAGTTTCAGATTTTATATTATTATTTTAAAAGCTAAAAGATATGAGTTACTGGGAAGCACAAATGGTTACTTGGTACTTGGCTATTAACCAAAAGATTAGTGGTGCTAAAGAAAAAAACTAAGAGATACATTATCCATGGGCACTTGTGTAGAATAAAAAAATAATAATAAATGGAAAATAGTTTTTATAAAATAATGAAAACAAGAGAGAGCTTCAAAATATTTGTGGAAAACATAATTTCCCTATGAATTTATATAATGCCTTCATATACTAATAATACTATTCCTGCTTTCTGAAAGTTTGGTACCAAAAATACATAATCTCTCTTTAATCTATATATAAGGATATTAGCACATTAAGCAGTGCCAAACCATGAACCTAAAAGGATCTAGGCATTTGACAAAAGACAATTTTAAATATTTGATATCTGAAACCATTTAAGCGATGTTTCAGTTATATAACACAATGTACCTGAAACTATACAGAATCATATCCATTCCCTTAAAAAGATGGTTGATTCCTAAATAATTTTGTATAATATAATCTAACTTTTATACAGAAAACAGTGTGAAACACTTTCTCCAATTCTCACTGTCCCCACACCAAATAATTCCTGCTTGAAAGGAAAAGAACCTTACCTAATTTATTAGTCAGAAAAGACTAATAAAGCTTATCTAATTTATTAGTCAGAAAAGACTAAAAATAAGACAAAATTGATCATTCATTCTGATCTACTAAAATAACCCTGACTGAAAAGACATTTGAAGAAAACTTCTGACTTGAAAGACAGAAGGTGTAATAAATTTTTTTAAAAACAAACACAAAATGCAAATAACAGAAGAAAAATCCTTCTAAAAACTAAGAAAATAAAAGATTTGCACAAAAACAAGATCAAGGTGATGGGGTTTTGATTTTTTTTTTAAAGAAGAAAATTGGGAGGACAAAAAAACTGTTCTTAGAAATTATAAACAAGATAGCAGAAACACAAAATTCTATAAAAGATTGAAATATTTTTAAAAACCATAGAATTCAAAAAGAGGAAAATAAGTAAGAAAAGATTATAAGAGGATTAATCTATGATGATTACTATCCTAAGGCATAATTACCTTGAAATTTCAGAATCTTAGGAATAAAAGACTCTAAGAGTATTCATGGAATAAACAGGTAACATAAAAAGAATGAGGGATTATTCATAACAGTATCACATTTCTCAATAGCAGATCTAATAAATGTAGTAATGCCTTAAAATTTCAGGTTTA